AGAGAGAGACACAGAGACACACGCACACACACACACACACACACAGACACACACACAGAGAGAGAGAGAGACACACACACACACACACACACACACACACACACACACATATATATATATGCCATTAATATATGTTGTAAACAATGAAGCCCAATAAAAATATATATTTTTGCAACTGAAAATATTAAATATTTCGAAATGTATTTCAACGGAAAGAAAATACATCTCCAATCTTACAGTAGCCAGCTTTTTATGTTCACTCATAAAGTAGCCCAATATATACAGCAAAAAGTTTTTTCTTCAAATGTGACATATACTAATTTATTTTCCTGGACTGAAATATATGTAGGGCAAAATATGATTTAAATACATTACATTTGTAAAATATATTTTGAAAAATATACAAAAATGGTAGAAAATATATTTTCATATACATAAACATTTTAAGTATATTTTTGAAATATAAGCCTACATTAAAATATTGTTTTATATATACTTATATATAATTATTTATTTATTTTTAATTTGCCATATGACTTTACTTTTACTCCACATATGACAAAAAAATAATGAACAGGTTTAACAGGTCACAACTTTAAACTGTGTGCAGATGATTTACAGCATCACTACTCCTCTCTTGCCAAAAAAAGTACAGAAGTAAAATACCATGGAACTTTAGTACATCCAGTATAACTATATAAGAAAGAATTAAGACTTTGCTTCGGTGTATGTTTATGATTTATATGGAAATATAACTACATATTACTATTAATCAGGAAAAACTGCTGTAGATATTTTTGGTTGTAAATGTATTATTATGCCATTATGTACATATTAATACAAACATATACATCTCACAACAGTAATAGAAAAATAGAAAAAGGGTATACAAAAAAAAGTGCATGTACATGGGTAAAAAAAAAATAGATCTATGCCAGGGATAAAAAAATTAAACATTTAATTAACCAACTTAATGTGAGCTTTTCTGTTTCTAATATTGTACAAAGTAGTACCATATTGTTTAATTTCTTTTATCAAATGTTCACCATTTGGCTTAGCTTTAGCCCATTTCTTTACATGAATATATTTTCCAAGTAAAATAATGAGTTGTGTAAGAAAAGAAATTGCACTTTTAGAATCAAGGGTATCTTGTACAAAAACATTTTGGTTATAAAGTAGCGGCTTCCTTTGTTCTGTAGCGCACGTGTTTCCGCCCTTTGAACTGTGATACAACAGCGCCACCGTGTGGCGGGAAAGAGCCGCTCATCATCACAAACATCATCCACTGATGCGAACCAGGGTGAGCTTTTTAATTATTTCAGCGCTTTTAGAGTAGTTAGTGTGGTATGAACGAGAAAGTGAAGGTAGCGTGCGTTGCTCGGTTTGTGTCCACGTGATGACAGCAGAATCCACCAAAACAAACGAAATGCCTCGAGTTTCTGTTCCACAATATTCACTTTTAGATTCTATGGCGTTCTTAAAACTGTTGCTGAAGTGCACATAGTGATGAAATCATTATTCAGTCAAAGAAAACGCCCCCTGAGAATATAATTACAAAGATCTTAAATAGAAATGAACAACCCTAACTGAGAGAAAAAAGACATAAAGTGAGGAATGTAATATAATGGGGAAAATTAGTTTGTGGGATACACTTTAGTAAACTGTGGCCCATATGTGACCCAGAAACACAAAAGCAGTCATAAGGGTATATTTGGTGAAATTGAGATTTATGCATCATCTGGAAGCTGAATAAATAATCTTTCCATTGATGTATGGTTTGTTAGGATAGGACAATATTTGAAAATCTGGAATCTGAGGGTGCAAAAAAATCTAAATATTGAGAAAATCATCTTTAAAGTTGTTCAAATTAAGTTCTTAGCAATGCATATTACTAATCAAACATTAAGTTTTGATATATTTACGGTAGGAAACTTACAAAATGTCTTCATTGAACATGATCTTTACTTAATATCCTAATGATTTTTGGCATAAAAGAGAAATGTATAATTGTGACCCATACAATGTATTGTTGGCTATTGCTACAAATATCCCCCAGCGACTCAACACTGCTTTTGTGCTGCAGGCTCACATATCAAATAGATTCATAACTGATGAGCTCTAATGATTGTGACTATAACAGAAGCTCACAATAGAAACACTTTCAGTTTCTGTAATAGTGCCTGAAATCATTTGTGTACAAGCAGAAAGCATTCAAGTGATGCTGTTTTTTAGATGCTCATCCAGTTCCCTAGATGCTAAACCATAAAATAAAAATGCAATACATAAGAAAACGACAGCTCGAACACATCCACATGTACATTTTCCAACTTGATATTAAGTTTTTGAAATGAAATAAGCTATTTTTTAAATTGCAGTTTAAATACATATAAAGTATCGGCTGACTAAATGATGCAATCCCAGCTAAAAAATTAATAACGTTTTGCTAACGTTCCCAATGAGTTATAAAAATGTTATTTCTGATTGTTCAAAACATACGGTTCTCTGTGTAACACACACAAATCGAACAGGAATTAATATTATGGCATAGGTGTTTGCTTTTGAGATGTGTTTGTGATATTTTGAGTGCAATGCTTCATTTTGCGAGAGATGTGCGGCATTTTGCATTTTGTGTGTGCAGTTCTTGGACTTGTGTGTAAAGTTTGGAAAAAAGACGCAAAGTTTTGAAAATGTGTTGAAAAAAATCTGTAAAAATGTTTTTTCTTGGTTATGTATGAACTTTAAGAGAACATTCAATTTTATCAGTTTGTAAACTGTTACTTCGGAACATTCTGAAACAAGTAGTAACGTTTAAAAATCGTTACATTTATGGTGTTTTTCTCCTAATGTTTTTAATATATCATTAAAGATCAGATTCGTTTGAACGAACGTTCTATTAACGTTACTGATACGACGTTGAGAGAACCTTGCCAGAACATTCTGAGAACGTTCTCTGTTAGCCGAGTTCGAAATGATATACTTTCTAAAGCACTTCTCAGTTAATAATAAACACCGTCCTGTATGCATGCAAATGAGTGCTTATTTATTAAGATACGAGTGTTTATTATTCAGTTGAGCAGATCTTGCGCAGACCCCGCCCTCGTCTGAACCCTCATCTGAATAATTTGTGCTAATTGCACACTTATGTGGAGAGGATCTGGCAGCCCTCAGACCGCTGATGAACTACACGTCTCTGGTGCCATTAACTCACTGAACATCTCTATTCACACACACGAGAGGCCTGCGAGAGACACTGAGCTTTAATGCTCTTCTGCCAGGATTTGAGAGCATATCAAGAGTGTGCATGTGTGAGAGTTTGAGAATAGACTTCCTTTTAACTCACGAGTTGGAGTTTGAATTGAATTGCCTACGACACACAAGATGTTGCATTGAAATGTGATTGATAACAGCACAAGAGTGAACGCCCACAGACGTGAAACAGTCTTCAGTTCTTCAGTGAAGAGCTTAAACTAAAGCAAGAGGCTCAGAGATTAAGAACATTACGGCATTTGATCTGAAGCGAAATGTCTTTCAAAAGACTGTGAACTTAATGTCTTTTGTGAGGAAATGAACTACAGTCCCATGAGGCATTATGATTTAATGTATGACAATGCAATATGAAAGTATTGACCTGTAGTCTTTGATTATGAATAAAAAATAAATTAGAAACTTTTACAAATATATTGTTATTAGTATTATAAAATAAAATATCTTATTCCACTTTCCACAACAAAATGAAAGTCATATAGATTTGTAGGTAAATGATGACAAAATAGTTTTGTTTTTTATATTTATACATATATTAATATAACATATATTTTATTAATTTTTATATACTTTTTTTTAATTTGTTGAAATCGCACTGACAGAAGTCTGTCAAAACTAATAAAGTGGTTTTCAGGTAACTAAATAAATACATAATGAATGAATAAAATCGATTTTAGTTGCAAGCAGTTACATTTAATTTACTTATATTAGAATTACAATTTTGCTTCTTGTTTGATACCATGGTTCAAATTCTGTAATTGAATTTGAAATTAAGAGTCAATTCACTTCTGAATGGTTCTCAACCATCAACCCTGGTGTGTGTGTGTGTGTGTGTGTGTGTATAT